TTCTCTCGAACGATGTTTTTCCGTCGCTGCGTTTTTGGTGCCGGGTGCACAGCCATCCGCAGTGTCTGATCAACCACGGCGTGAGCAGGCTCGTGCTCTTGAGCACCATGTTGTAGTGGCCCTCAAGAGCCAACTTTGGGTCCAGACGAGACCCTCAGTCGATTGGTGAAGACGCTCAACTGTACCGTTCGACTGTTTGGATGAAACTGGCGTTTGTCTCAAATGAGTGTTCGGAGAACTTCCGTTGACCTGCCTCTTGGTAGCGACCGCGCGGGCCAAGTCCTTCACAGACGTTCCAGAATCAGTCTGCAAAATACTTTCTCCGTTCAGACCTGCGCGCTCCAAACGTTTGACAATATATCCCACGGCATGCGCGTCAGAGGACCCTCTGGCCTTGACTTGCGTGCACGCACCATAACCGTTTACGACATCAATTACTGATACATATGTGATTATTGCTGCGCCGTGCGCCGTTTTCGAAAAGAAATAATCTATTTGTACAATGGGGATAATGTACTCTTCTGGGTATTGGTGTGGAGACTGCTTCGCACGCCCGTGCACGCAGAACTCACACCAAGCCCTGAAAGGCATGTGCGTAAGATTCTTTAAGCGTTGGTCCAGTGGGAATTCTGGGAGCCAGCGGTCTGTGTCCTTCCTCTTGCTGCTCCTGCAAAGGAACAGGGGGCGACTGAGAAGATGGCTTTCGAAACGCAGTTATCATCTTGAACGGTTCGTGTAATATCCACGGCACATGCTCAAAGGTTTGTGTTTTGTCCCTCAGTTGATCGACGCGCACGCTGTCTTCTACAAGTTTCCAAACACTCCCTTTAGCATTTGCATCCACGTTGACCTTACAAGACCCTGCGCATTTACTGGAAATACAAACTCTTTCGGACAAGTTGACACTACATACGTCACTCCATCGATGACATGTTTTCCTTCAGGTAACGTTTGCACGTGTGCTGGAGGTTCGTTGTTTCCAGAGGAACCTGCACTACGATTGTCATTTGTGCTCTGCGCGCCGGTGGACCCGTTATTTTGTGGATGAGTTTCTCCTGGGAGGTTCATTGGAACGTCGCTCGGTTCAGATCTGTTTTGGGGATCGTTGTCCCCCTCGCGTTGAACGAACAATGTGATTGTCCTGCCTGACATAATGAATTCTTCTGGCATTTCGAGTTTTGTCCAGTCTACCCTGTTTTCCAAGAGCACCCATTCGTTCCTTGGCCATTTTACCCACGTGATGCGCAGAGGGAAACCCGTTGCGATTTTATCGTATTTGAACTTCTTTGGAAACTGTCCGACGGGAACTCTGTGCTTCTCTGCTTCGGGTGTGACCACATAAGGTTCGCCCTCAGAGGTGGTACTCCAAATTTCCTTGTTCATCTTTGCGGGAACGCTCATTCTCAATTCTTCCGGCGTTTCGTCGAGAGGCCGGAGGACAGCTGAGTGCAACGACTGGCGTTGGATGAGTGGCATGATCTTTACCGGGTCTACAAACTTACACCTTACCCGATACAGGAAATTGTGTTCTTTCACAGACAACGGTATCGGGATATGTGGCCTTTTCATCACACAAATGCTGCCATCAAACATGCAAGTGATGTTTTTCTGTTTCCTTAGCCTGCTGATGCTGATGAGTGCGGTACTTGCTTATTTGAAGACACTGAAACGCATTACAAACACTACCGTTGCGCCGTTGTGGCCGATCAATTGTATAGGTACGTCTTTGTGTCCAATCCGTGTCATCGGATCTCCCGAGGCGGTCACACCTCCTTTGCCAGCAGACTTTACCACAGGGATGTGTTTCGCGGAAGACTCTTTGCATACATGATCGAAGGTTCCTGAATTCAATAGGATCTGAAAGTCTCTCTGTGTGTATGTGCTGGTGGACGCGACGCTCTTTTGTCCCTGCGGGACTTCGTCCAAAAACGAGTTCATGTAGTGCTCATTTTTCCCAGAGTCCACCACGATGCACATCAAAATCGCTTGTACGATGATCAGCCCGGCGATGGGCCGACGCACTTTTGACAAGCTTGTGAATGAATGTGAACACGTCGCAGATTTCAGACCACATGCTTGCACAAAACGACACCACACACATCGTCACAAACATCGTCATCATGTATAGCGTCGTCCCTGGAAAGCTCTCGGCGATTTTGCGATGACTGCTAATGGGATCATCGCCCTCGTCATCCAAATCCGCCATCACAAACCATTTTGGACAGTCGTGGAAATCTTCGCACTGGTGTGCCACAGGTTCCGTTTGAAAGCCTGTCTCCGCAAGGAGTCCAGTGGGATCTGTCTGAGAGCCCACATCCACACAGAAAGCGTGTTCACTGGGTGCGCTGCTCTCGCTGCCAGCGTCGTTCGACGACCCCGCAAAGCCATACTCGAAAGCAAGTGCGCTGTCATCTTGTGATTATGCCCCCGGATCGCTCTCCGCTGGCGCACCTGACTCACATCTCTCTGTCGACTCGCTGTCTCTTTCGTCCGGAGAGCTGCTCCCAGGAAGTAGAGCCGCGAACTCCTCTGGGGAAATTCGTCGTGTTGCTCTGGCTGCTCTCCTCCATCCTGGTTCCAACCGCCCTTCTCGTCCCAGGACCACCCGGGACCCCAAGAGTCCTGATCCCAGGCATGTTCGTAGGAATGGCTTCCTTTCCCTGATCGATGTTTCCCTTTTGTTGTTGAATCTGCACTCTGACGTCCAATGGGTCCTCATCCTGCAGATGTCACACCACTTGTTTGCGTTCTGACTACAGCCATTTTTGCCTCCACTGCTCGACTGGCCCCTACCTTTGCCTCCAGTGTGCGTTTGGTCCCTGCCTTTACCTTTCTGGTCGTTCTGGTACCAGCCCTGGGCCTGAGTGGAGGAACCCTGTCCTCGCCAAGAGGATGATGGGTATCCACGGCCAGACCCCGCTCCTTGGGAATATCCCTTCGGAGTGTCCTTGGGGGTGCCTTTGGGGGATCCTTTCGGAGAGCCCCTATTGTCACCCTTTGGGGATCCTTGTCGGAAAACCTTTCGGGGTTCCTTTCGGAGAAAATTTCAACGCATCAACTTACATAGGTTTCGGTCCGTTGTCCTTTCTGGCGTACGGGTTTTTCCATTCACGCTTGATTCCAACGTATTTGTGGATCCCTCGTTTGATGTCTTCATATGTTTCGCACAGATGCGTATTTAAATCGAAATGTGTCTTCATGGGTTCCGGGATCGTTTTCATAACCACGCTGACTATTACATCATTTGCTAGCTCGTCAGGGTTGGCTAAATCGTCGTACTCTTTTATTAGCAACTCCATCTCTTCCAGGCGCTCAAGAACCTCGGAGGGAAGAGCCCGAGAAGTTGAAGTCCATGATTGCGTTCAGAACCCTCTTTTCGTGTTTTTGCCGTTGTGCTCATACCTTATGCACATCCTACGCCACATCTCAAGACCGTTCCCTCTCTCTCTACTTTCCTGAATAATTCGTCATCTCTCCGTACACAACACTCTTTAGAATATACGCTAAATTTGTTGAATGTTGTTTCACATCGTCTTCTGTGGCTGCTAGTGCGATGGGATTCGCATGTTCTCGTGCTCGTTCCATGTTCTGCAACATTACTTGGCTCACAGCTCCACAATAATATTCGAAACGATAAGACCAATCGCTCCATTCACTCTCATCTCCGGAGAAATATTTTAGACCTCGTCCTAACAGTTTCGTGTCAATCTTTGTTGCCATTCGTTCTACACTACGGGTCTTCCCAGAGCCCTACTTGGGTTGGGGATGCCACTCTACAATGAGTCTTCCCAGAGCCCTACTTGGAATGGGGATGTTATTTAGGTCCGTGTATTGTTCACCACGGCTCCGCTACTATAAAAAGATAAGCGGATGATTTCGATATGGAGTATGTTTTCCTGGGTTCGCGGCTCAAGCCGGCTGCGGTGCGGACAAGGGATTATCACAAGGGATTCTTACAGGAGTAGGAGGAGGAGGCGGAGGAGCAGGGGGGGGAGGAGGGGAGGAGGAGAGGAGGAGGAGGGAGAGGAGGAGGAGGAGGGAGGAGGAGGAGGAGGAGGGGGAGGAGGAGGAGGAGGAGGAGAGGGGGAGGGAGGAGGAGGAGGAGGGAGGAGGAGGAGGAGAGGAGGAGGAGGAGGAGGGGAGGAGAGGAGGTGGAGGAGGAGGAGGAGGATGAAGGAGGAGGAGGAGGAGGAGGAGGAGGAGGAGGAGGAGGACGAGGAGGAGGAAGATTCTGAGACGATGCGCTTCCTTGAGGGGTGGGAGGTCCCCTGGTGGATGGCCTTGGTCGGGCATCCACCTCTGAGGGCCAAACGGTCCGCAGCGAGCGTCAGGGAGCTCCTGCTGAGGCTCCGAGAGGGCGAGGGCCCCCGAGAGAGCCCCAAGGAGGCGTCAGGAGGGAGATCGTGGCCTCTTGGGGCTGTCCTGGAGCCCCTGGCAGCTGCTGGTCACCACCCACCAAACCACCCCAACCCAACCCGAAGGCTCAAATTTACCGTTGATTTCCAGTGGGGGGGGTCGGGGAACATCGAAAAAACACGCGTGGAGCCCTTACCCCCCCAACTCGAAATTCGGGTCTTCGGGTTGGGTTGGGGTGGTCTGGTAGGTAGTCAGCTGGGCGGGATTCGGACAGCTTGTCGGGCCGTAGCGCTAGCCGAAGACCTGCCAGCCATGTGTATTCGAGGGGGCAATCGCCCAAGTTCCACGCGGGGGGCTCGCGTTCCACTATCCCCCCGGGGGCTTCGACAAACCGGAGGTTCCACAAAAACCCAAGGGGTTTCGCAAAACCCGGGGGGAATCCACAAACCCCGGGGATTTCGCAAAACCCGGGGGGGGGTCCACAAACCCCGAGGGGGAGCGGGGAGCTTTCTGCGGAAGGGCCCCGAGGCCTCCCACAGGGCCTCCCAGACGCCGCGGAGGGCTGCCCAGAAGCCCCCTCGCCGTCCGGGGAGGCCGCCCCGCCCCTGCGAGACGGCGCCGCGCCGCGGACCCCCGCGCGAGAGGCGGAGCTGCTGGAGCGGTGCCGCGCCCTGGAGGCGGAGCGGGACGGCCTGCGTGCGGAGCTGGACCGGCGCTCGCGCTCGCAGCTGGACCAGGGCTCCAAGCAGGCAGGCCCCCCCCCTTCGGCGGCGGCCTGTCAACGGCACGCGCAGTCGTAGTCGCCGCCGCCGCCGTCGTCGTGGTCCTCCTCCTCCTCCTCCTCCTCCTCCTCCTCCTCCTCCTCTCCTCCTCCTGTGCCTCCTCCTCCTCTCCTCCTTCTCCTCCTCCTCCTCCTCCTCCTCCTCCTCCTCCTTCCTCCTCCTCCTCCTCCTACTCCTCCTCCTCTCATCCTCCTCCTCCTCCTCCTACTCCTCCTCCTCCTCCTCCTCCTCCTCCTCCTCATCCTCCTCCTCATCCTCCGCCTCCTCCTCCTCACCCTTCTCTCGTCGTGGTCGTCGTCGTCCTCATCGTCCCCATCCTCGTGTTGCATGTTCCTCCTTCTCTTCCTCGTCCTGCCCGTTCTTTCTGCCCCCCCCCTTTCTCATTATCGTCCTCACCATAACCAGCATCACAGTTATCATGGTCAGCATCAGTACCATTAATATCACGTGCATCGTCATCATCATCATCATCATCATGATCATCATCAGCAGCAGCAGTAGTGCCACCATCGGCACGTATCACCATCTTCGTCAGCATCACCGCCACCACGATAAACATGAACAGCATCGCCATCATCAATCACACTCATCATCAGCATCATCAACTGCATCATCATCATCTGCATCTCCACCGTTATCTTGCATCATCCACATCAGCATCATCATCTTGGTTCTCATTCCCAATCCCCCCCCCCCCCCGCGATTGTAAGCATCAGCCCGTCTCACCCCATCACGACTCAGCCAGCTGGGCCTTCATCAGCGTAGCCCAGCCCCGCTCAGCCAGCCACGGCGCTTTGAAGTCCAACCCAGCTCCGTGCGAGCTGATTCCACTTCAGTCCCCTCGTCTGTTCGGCCGGCTGATTACAGTGGAGGCCCACGCCAGTAAACACCCTGCTTGCCTCCAGGGTGCCCTGGGTTTCTTGGGTTTCGATAGTTTTGCCATGGAAAGCGTGACCCGAGCATTTTCTTCAAGTGGAGGGCAAAGGTTCAAATCTGAAATGCTGTTTCGATAAACTTTCGAGGCTTGAATCTGCACAAGGTGAAGCACAAGACGGATTGATCTTCGAGGTGCAACAGCCCATATGGATTTCACCCTGAGCCCTCCACCCTAAGAAAATGCTCAGGTGACCCTCCCGAACCAAAAATCAATGGACGTCCTGGGGTCTCAGGGTTGGGTTTCTTGTGGACGGTTTCTTGTTGATTGGCCTCCGCTGTAGGTCACTGCGCCCTAGTAGTCCTGAACGGGATGATCGGTGTCCTGCTGCCTGCGGCACATTCCGACACCATGCCACCGCAGCATGCGTGGCGACGCTGCGAGCAGAGCCCAAACGGTCGTAGCCCGTGGCGCACCTCGTCTCCATTCCTCGAGGGCCTTCAGTGGGGTCTGCCCGAGCCGTCTCGGAGCTTTCTGAGGCCTCTGTCGGGGCTGGCTTCGCGACCGCTTGAGGCTGTCTCGCAGGCCTCTGGGCCATAGTATGAGGGCCTCTTGGATTGTCCAGGTGCGATCGTGCAGCATCTCTGGACTCCAAGACGGCCCCCAAGACTGCTGTCATGGGGCCCTCTTGGGCACCACTGCGGCAGTCTTCGGGGCCGTCGTAGGGCCCTCTTAGGTCGTGTTGGGCCCCTCTTGGCTGCCTGGGGGGTCTCTGGGGGCTGCCTGGGGACTCTTGGGGCCGCCTGGGGCCGCCGGGCTGTCCCCTTGCCCTGTTTGGCCGTGTTGGGATCCTCGTCGGGCTGTCATTTCCCGTCTGGCAGGGCCCGTGTGGCCCGGCTAAATCAGGAGGGGGAAGCACACAAACACACACACACACACACACTCTCACACACACACACACACTCACACACACACACATACACCCTCTCTCCGATACGCACACACACACGCACGCACACACACACGCACACACTCACACACGCACACACACACACACAACACACACAACACACAACACGCACAAAACACACAACACCCAGCACACACACACACACACACAACACACACAACACACACACAACCACAACACGCACAACTCACAGAACACACACACAACTCACAACACAACACACAACACACATGTACACATCACACAACACACACAACACACACAACACACACACAACACACAACACACACAACACACACAACACACACAACACACAACACACACAACACACACACAACACACACAACATACAGCACACAACGCACACAACACACACACACACACACAACACTCACACGACACACACACACACACACACAACACACAACACACACACACACACACAACGCACACAACACACACACACACACACACAACACACACCACACACACACCACAGACACACCACGCACACAAAGCGCACTCAACACACACACACACACACAACTCACACAACTCACGCACAACCCACACAACACACACACACAACACACGCACAACACAACACAAGAATCACAACACACACAACCCACACACAACACACACAGCACACACACAACACACAGCACACACAACGGGCATGCACAACACACACAACACACACAACGCACACACACAATTTATCGGCGACTCCCAGGAAAGTATGGGAAAGCATGGGAAGTGGGGGGAAGACAAAAAACCCAAAAGTATTGCAGAATATAGGGGAACCTGCGAGTTGTGTCTATTGGTTTGTGTGTCCCTGGGCCCCATTTGATAAATTTGATTGGGGCTTTGTGGGTGGCTTCTCCCAGCCCCCCCATGGAACCGAACCGAACCCGTACTGAGTCGCGAGGCCCAGGGCGGCCAAACACCCTTGGGCACCCACAAGTGCTTGGCACGGGTGCGGATCTCCTGGGTGGTGCAGTGGCCTTCCTGCTGGGGCACGTGGAAGATGCCGCGGTGCGGGGCCCCTTGGGGCACCTCGTGGGCAACAGTGCGGAGAGCGGGGTTGCTCCTTGAGCCACCGTGGACGCGCTAGCGGCGATGCAGGTCACCGCGATGTAGGGTGTCGGTTTTGCAGGTGGGGGGTGTTTCGTGGCGAACCCAAGTTTAGGAAAGCGTTGTTCGCGTTTTCCTACCATTTCTTCTGCGCGAGTTTGGCGTCTCAGAAACCAGATTCCCAACATCGCCGTTCACCAGCACCGCCATTAGCGTGGCCTTGATGCCAGCAGTGGGCGATTGCGAAGGCCTGACGGCCGGTGCTGCCGACCCTGAAAGACATTGACGACGACCAGTGGGGGGAGGAGGAGGAGGAGGAGGAGGAGGAGGAGGAGGAGGAGGAGGAGGAGGAGGAGGAGGCGGAGATAAGGAGGAGGAGAAGGAGGAAAAGGACTCCCCCCTGGGACCTTTGGCGTCGCAAAAACCAGACTCCCAACATCGCCGTTCACCAGCACCGCCGTTAGCGCGGCCTTGGCGCCAGCAGAGGGGTAATCTTGGCGACGCTGGTGGCCCTCCCGGGCCGCGGCGCCAGCCCCTGCGCAGCCCCGCGGGAGCCTCGGGCGATTCGGTGACATCCGCAGAACACAGGAGCAGGTGCAGAGTCATGATGTTCCAACCTGCTTGAGCCTTGATCACCAGAAAGAACTTCGAGCACCAGACAAGGGTTTTGACGTGTCGCTCCATGGGAGACACTCGTCCGACACTCTCTCGACACTTGCCTGGGTGCTTGCGGTCCTTACGTACGATGGCAGCAGCATAGGTGCAGAGGTACGTCTCGCCGTCGGGGCGGGCTGCACGGAGAAAGCCGCGACGCCTGCACCCGACGTGCGCCGCGCCCTGGCCGCCAAGTGCCGGTCTGCATGTGGCCCGTCTGTTTTCGCGAGACGTCGCTTGCCCGTCGTACCCACCGCCGACGCCCAGTCCCCTGGGCCCTTTCCCGTCGAGCACCCGAAGGCTGCGGCCCAGCGGAGCCGCCGTATGCCTCGGAGCCACGACCTCGCAATGGCAGTGCGGCTCCCGATGCTTCCTGCCCTTCTGCATGTGGATCGCTGCCACGATCGGCAGGCCCCCTGTGGCTCTGCCACGACTGGCGCCCCTGATCGTATGTCGCAGAGTTTGTGCCCGTCCGCCTATGACCAATCACGCGTCCGGTGCAGTTTTGATCCCAGACCCTGGTCCCTCAAATAATCAGCCGCCCTTTGGTAAGTGATCGTTTGGGATGTTTTCGAGGGAAGGAGGAGGAGGAGGAGGAGGAGGAGGAGGAGGAGGAGGAGGACGACGACGACGACGAGGAGGAGGAGGAGGTGAGAACAGGGACGGAGGAGGCCGATGGAAGAGCGAACAAAGACACATCAAACAACAAACACAGCTACAGCATGACACAGCAAACAGCAAACCAACAAACGAACAGTAGACAAAAAAAATGCGGGCAGCGACGAGCCTCTCGCGCCAGGCGGAGTTGCGGCCCCGCGGCGGCGCCGGTGCGGCCGTCGCGGTGGCCGACGTCGAAGCGGGCGACTGCGGCAGGGACGACGAGGAGGACATCCACGGGCCGTCCACGGGCAAGAGAAGGGCGAGGAGGAGGGGGGAGGTAGGGAGGGAGGGAGGCAGGCAGGGAGCAGGAGTAGGAGGAGGAGGAGGAGGAGGAGGAGGACGAGGACGAGGACGAGGCGTCGAGGAGGAGAAGGAGGATGAAGAGGACCCCCAAGGGGGCGAAGAGGAGGAAGGATGAGGAGGAGGAGGAGGAGGAGGAGGAGGAGGAAGGAGGCCGAGGAGAGAGGAAAAAGATGGAGGAGGAGGAGCTTGAGGATGAGGAGCTACAGGGAGGAGGAGAGAATGGAGAGAATGGCGGGGATGAAAAGGAGGAGGAAGGGAGGCAGGAGGATGAGAAGGATGGAAAAGAGCAACTTTCGGCGGGGCAGTGCTGTGCACTGTGGGGCACTCCAGCATCAGTTCAAAGAAGTCCTGGGACCGCGGGAGAAGGGTGCAAGGTGGGTAAGGAGGGAGAGCAGGAGAGAGGAGAAGCGAGGAGGAGAATGGAGAAGTGATTAGGAAGAGGGAATTGAGGAGGAGGAGAAGGATGGGGAGGAGGAGGAGGAGGAGGAGGAGAATGGATGATGATGATGATGATGATGATGAGATGATGATGATGATGATGATGATGATGATGATGATGATGATGATGATGATCATGATGATGATGATGATGATGATGATGATGATGATGATGAGGAGGAGGAGGAGGAGGAGGAGGAAGAGGAGGAGGAGGAGGAGGAGGAGGGAGGAGTGCGAATTGGAGGGAGCAGGAGGGAGGAGGAGAAGGAGGAAGGAGGTTTCAGGTTCGAGGATTGTTGAGGTTTGGACGTTTCGAACGTTTTTGACATTCGTTTGATCTTGGGGAAGTCCTCCGCGGGAATCTCCGAGGACCACTTGGAATCTCCGAGGACGGTCCCTGGCCTTCTCCTCGTCGCTACCGCTGGATCCGTTTCGAAGTCCAGGCCCGAACGCACATAAGCAGAGGTCCTGGGCAGCAGTTTGGGCAGACGAGGAGGAGGGTGAGGCGAGAGTCAGGAGTTGGAATGATTTCGACGCTCTGCGCACTGTTGGAAAAGCTAGGGGGTCCCTCGTCGGCATCGCTTGATTCGCCTCGAAATCCTGGCCAGAGCGTGCCCCAGGAGATGCCTCAAATGCGACAAGCGGTTGGGAGGAGAAGTGGCACGGGGAGTATCCTCGGCATATCTCCCGCTTGCTTGGCAGGATCGGCAGTTTTTGTGGACAGCTAGGTCTCCCACATTCCTTATATTATCCCCCTTGTCCCCCCCTCCTCCCTGCCCCCTCCTCCCATCCCCCTCCTCTCCCCCCCCTCCTCCCATCCCCTTCCCCCTCATGCTCCCTTCCTCGCGTCCTCGTTTTTGTTCCACCCCTTGCTGCAGAAACCGTCACATGGACTCGTACGATCGGACGGCCGCCATCCACTCCTCTGCCTCACGCTGCGGCGCAGCCTCACTGCGGAGAAATACAGTGCTCGAGGTTGGAGTCCTCATATCCGTTGTTCTGGTCGCAGGGAAAACCGCTCCTCCCTCCTTCCCTTTCCCTCCCTCTCCTACCCTCCCATCCGCCCCTCCCCTCTCAGTCCCTCGCCTCCTCCCGTCATCGTCGTCGCCCGAGCAAGACCAAAGCTTACAGGAAGGCCTGAAGGAGTGGCGGGGGCCAGCCCGTCCACGTCGTCCTTGCCCTAGCCAGTCTCCGTCTCGTTTTCCAGCCCCGGCGACGTCACCGCACCTGTTTCGGACTCAAGTTGGCCACTGCCAGTTTTGTCCAGCCCTGGCCACTTCCGCTTTCATGGAGTTTGCAACTTCCACTCGCCCCAGCATCTTCGCAGCCAGTAGTCAAGTCGGTTCCGTGGCATCTCCCCGGGTCCGACCTCTGGCCAGTTTTCCGAATTGCGTCCAGCCATGGTTATGAGAGCCTCCAGAAACGACCAGAAACCTCCGAAGCGAAGACATCGACTGGTGCAGCCGCTGTCGTCGTCATAGTCGTTCTCGTCGTCGTTTGTCGCCGTCGTATCGCCGTCGCCTGTCGTCGTCGAAGTCGTCGTCGTCGTCGTCGTCGCCGTCGTGTCGCCGTCGCTTGTCGTCGTCGAAGTCGTCGAAGTCGTCGTCGTCGTCGCCGTCGTCGCCGTCGTCGTCGTCGCCGTCGTCGTCGTCGTCGTCGTCGTCATTCGTCATTCGTCATCCGTCGTCGTCGTGGCGAACCGTGCAGGAGGGCAAGGTGCGCGGCGCGGACTGGCCGCTCCAGTGGTGCGCGCAGCGGCTGGCTTCGTCGGCGCGCCAGGGGCCGTCGCCATCCTCATCCGCATCCTCGTCCTCACGCCATCACCATCCTGACATCAGCTCCATAATCACCACTACCATCATCAGATATCATCATCATCATCATCATCATCATCATCATCATCATCATCATCATCAGCAGCAGCAGCAGCAGCAGCAGCAGCATCACCAGTATCCGCATCATCACCAGTATCACCATCATCATCAGCATCAGCATCATCATCATCATCAGCATCATAATCAGCAGCAGCATCAGCACCATCATCAACGTCAGCAGCAGCAGCATCAGCAGCAGCATCCTCGTCATCGTCATCGTCATCATCATTAGCAGCAGCAGCATCATCATCAGCATCATCATCAATATGATCACCAACACCCTCATCATCGTCATCATCATCATCGTCGTCCTCATCCTTATCTTTCCTCCTCCCGCCTCCTCCTCCTCCTCCTCCTCCTCCTCCTCATCCTCCTCCTCCTCCTCTCCCTCCTCCTCCTCCTCCTCCTCCCGCCTTCTCCTCCTCACCACCGCCTCCGCCCCCTCCTGTGCGCCCTCCTCTACCTGGAGGTCGAGACTCCCGACGAAACGCATTCGACACCCCCACGGCCCATACGCGACGTCCGCGAGAGCACGCCACGCGCGCTCGGAGCGCTCGACCGCCCAGCCCGATGCTGCGCGTGAGAGTTGGCAATATCGGTTGGCGGCCTGTGTGGAGCATACGTCTGCCAGTGTCGAGGCTGGTTCTGCAAGTGTCGTCGTCGTCCTCCCCTCGCACCTCCCGCCTCCTCCGCTTCACCCTCCTCACCCCTGCCCTCCTGGCTTGAGCCTCGGAGCTCTCGGGCCCCATGGCGCTCCCGAACCCGTCCCCAGGAGAGAAGGTTCGTCGCGGGTCCCGGCCTCCGCCTCCGCCTCCTCTTCCTCCTCCAAATCCTCCTCCATCCTCCTCCTCCAAATCCGCCTCCTCCTCCATCCTCCTCCTCCTCCTCCCCCTCCTCCTCCTCCTCCTCCAAATCCTCCGTCCATAGTCCTTGCTTGTCCGAAGATTCCCAGGCACGCAGTGATCGCCTCCATCGAGGCCATCGTTTTATGCTGGCACTGGAGCGGCACACTGCAAGTGACACCCGCCACGCTGGATTCTGCGCGGAGGCAGATGCGCTCGGCCTCGACCTCGAGTGTGCGCAGACGCTGCTGCATGCCGCTGCGTCCGCCAGCCTCTTGATGCATCGGAGGGAGTACGTGAGAATGATGAGCAGCTTGGCTAAATCCATCGTCCCGGCAGGCGGCAAGGCTATACGTTAGTATTCGGAGCTTCGGTACGATGAGACCCGCATGAGAACGAGATGCGTTGACTTCGAGCTCCCTCCCGAGCCTGGTTCCAGTGGCGATGAATGTGTTGCTAACGATCCGCCGCCGGAGGGGCACTTTCTGACGATGTGCGTGGCGACCCAGGTGGCCAAGATTGTCCAGACGCTGACGTCCGAGAATGTACTGTTCCAGCTTTCGAATGGGAAGTTGTGCTCGCTCGGTGCCCGATCCCACGTTGCCTTCAAACTATAGCTCAAGGTAAAGGTGAGAACTGTTACAAGTATTTGGCAGCTTCCACAGTGGAGCTCCCTAAAGATGTCCAGGACCTCTTTGCTCGACGGCAGAGCGAATGGTATGCGCGGACGCCGACGGAGCAGTCGACAGTGCCGAACGAGCAATTGCATGCAATGACCCGTCTTTAGTGGTTCAAGACGAAGTGCGAGGTCCACAAAGTGTACCATTGGCACGAAGCTCTGTTCGATCAAGTGGCCAGTGCTGTCAACCGTTTGCGGCACATTGCAGATGCTCTGAATTTTGGCGACGCCATGCGATCATTTCGAACAGTTGTTCGACACAGTCGACGAGATGCTGACTACAGAGCGAACTTCAAACCGTCGCCCAACAATTTGCGTCGGAATATCGGCCTCCTCGACACGTTTTCCACAAACGATTCTGGTACGTACCGACTTAGACGGGCTTTTTTGCACGTGTTTGCCGTCCCCCCGCACTGGCGCACCGCAGAGAGCAAGAGGTCTGACGCCGTGCATCGGTGGCGAGCCCATGGGGGAAGTGGGAAGGGGCGTGGGCCTGCTCAGAGGGCTCCGAAGGTCCCCCCATTAAGCCACGCCCAAGCTTGAACATCGAAGCAGAACAGCTCGCAATGCACACGAATCGTTGGAGCTCCGCGCGGACGTCTTGGATCTGCGCTCGGCGCTCGGCCCCCCTGGCGGCGCCCCGGGCGCCGCCCCCTCGGCGAGCTCTCGGCGCGCCAGGCAGGGGCTTCCGGCGCAGATCCGAGGAATCCGCGCGGAGCTCTCAAAGTTTAGGAGGAGGAGGAGGAGGAGGAGGAGGAGGAGGAGGAATGTGTGTGCCGCTTTTCGTCGTCTACCAAAGAATATGGTTGGCTTTTGGTTGCTTCTGGTGAGAAATGCGGTCAAGATCCCGGACGTTGACCGCGCTTTCCAGCCACGAGCAGCCAAAAGCCAACCAGAGTCCAGAATCTGGCACCGCGGATCCTCCTGGAGGGGCCGACGCACTCTCTTCACAAACGCGAGAGGAGCCCTGTGGCATGTAACGATCGTGTGAGGGTTGGCTTTGGTCGAACTCGATGCTCGGCTAACAGCAGGTCATACGTTGAGACCCAGCGCCACTGCCGAGTCGTACGGGGCTCTTGTTATTAGTGTGATTTCTCCGCCTCCCGTCCTCCTCACCTCCTGCCTGCCTTCTCAGGTCGCTCATACCCCGACGAACGTTCACTCACGTTCATTCACATTCATATTCAGCTCAGCCGTGCTCAGCACTCAGACTCACGCAACCAAACTCACTAATACTCAGACCCACTCAGAGTCAGATTCGATCACACTCGGGCTCGCTTGGACTCAGACACGCACATACCCAGCATAGTCGTACTCACACTCAGACCACGTTCATAGTCACGCACATAGTTTTACCCACGCTCAAACAAACTCGCACTCGGTTCACGCATGTAAACAGTCACTCTCTCTCACACACACTCTCTGTGCGTTGAGAGCCCATTGGTCACCGCGGTATGACAGTCTCTTCAAGGGGCCGAGAAGTTCAGGCGGAAGGGCGGCGGAATTTGGTGGATGTATAACAGCAGCGGCTCCGCTGGCGTAAGTGGACATCTGACTTCCAGAGACACATGTTTGTTGTCATACGGACGAGCTTTCCAGAGCGAGACGGGTGTTCCGCAAAAGTTCAGTCTAGGCCAGTGGTGTGTTGCCGCCGATGCCGCTCGGACGCACCCCTGATCGCCTGGCCCTGCCGTGCCTCATCCTCGATGGCAGTCGCATGCCCCTGCGATCTAGATTCCCCTGCTGCTGCGGGCCGCTGCAGAGGCAGAGTCGAAGCGTAGCCCAGTACCATAGGTAGGAGGAGGAGGAGGAGGAGGAGGAGGAGGAGGAGGCAGAGGAGGAGGAGGAGGAGGAGGAGGAGGAGGAGGAGGAGGACCTCCCCATCCTCCCCGCTCACCCCGCGGCGGCACCGACCGCGTCCCCCGCTGCGGCGCCGGCCAAGACTCCTTTGCGGAGGGACCGACCGCTCGTGCGGAGCAGGCTGCACTGCTCTCGCAGAGCATCGAAGAAGAAAAAGCCACATAAGCATGAACTTTTGGCGCTCCGCGCGGACTTCTCGGATCCGCGATTGGGCCCCCCGGCGGCGCCTCCGGCGCCGCCCCTGGTGCGCTCCGCGCGCCAGGAAGGGGGTCCAGCGCGAAACCAAGAAATCCGCGCGGAGCGCCAAAAGTTCATGTTTATGCGTTTTTCCCTGATTATATGTAAGGTGCGAGTGACGTTGAAGTGGAGCCGCATAGTCAGGATGGGCAGCCTTGCCGAGGGTACGCTTGCATCCTTGCCTCCTCGGTCCATCCTTGGCCGCTTTCGCTGGCCAACCTCGTTCGAAAAACGTTAACACGTGGCCCTCCAAGGACTTGCACTATTTCTGCACATCTTTATGACGCGGGTTAACTGTACAGTGTCTCTCTCGCTCTCTCCTCCGCCGCTTCCTCGCCCATCTCCCGACGCCTCATCCGCCCGAATCCGCCCCCCCTCACCCTGATCCGCCATCAGCACATTCCTCGGCCTCCCTTTTCCGCATTCCCTACAACCGCACTCGCTCCCATGCTTGTTCTCTCTTGCCATATCTATGTTCCATCTCCTCCCAGGAGGGTTAAGGACACGCACACACACATACACACAGAGACACAAAGAATCGTCGATCCCCGGAAACAATGGGAAAACATGGGAAGTGGTGGGGACGACGAGAGTCCAGCAAGCATGAGTAAGTATGAGGAGTCCTAGGGTCTGTGTCCAGTGTTTACGTATTTGTGTGTGCTTGGGCCTCCACTCCGCTACGGCATCGTCCGCCTTGCCACACCTCTTACGACCCTCTGCTTCCAGCGCTTCCCATTCATCCTTCTTGTCTCCTCCCGCTATCGGCCACGCGCAGAAGGGGGCAGGGGGAGGGGGGAAGGTTTCTTCGAAGCACCCCTGTCTGCAGATTAGGGCCCGCGCCTTCTAAGAAGCAGCCTCCTTCTATGAAGCCTGCTTCCCCTCCCCCGCCGCCAGCAGATGCCCAGGCGTTGTACCAGCGGGTGTTCTTCTCCTACCTGTTCCTGCTCCATCTGATCGTGATGTTTGCGAACCGTCGCTTGTAGTGGACGACGAGATTGGGAGGCTCGGCCGAGGCGCGAGGCGCAGCCCGAGGCGCGCGCCCCGCGAACCCTCGAAAAAAGATGCGCGGCCCGCCGCTCCCAGCAATCGCCACCTGCCTCGTCGCGGGCCGCCGCCCCCGGAAGCGGCCGAGAGAAGAGTGACACCCCCCCGTAGTCTACCACCCCAGTGGTCTACCACCACCCCAATGGCCTACCACCCCAGCGGTGCACCCCCCGAGTGGTGCACACCCGCAGTGGTGCACCCCATCAGTGGTGTGCCCCTCCTATGTTGCCCCCCTTGTGGTGAGTACCCCCCCAGTGGTGTTCCCTGGCCGGTGGCGTACTCTTCAGTGCTGTTGACAGGGGGGGGCATCTCACTGCCGGGGCCCAGAGAACTCCGTTTCGTGGCCCCCGCCCCCTTGTCTCAGTAAGTTCCCTGGCCCCCCCCCTCCTGGGCCGCGCCGCGCCGCCCGCCACGCCCTGCGACCCGGGGCACCCCGCCCTCCTGGCAGCCGGCCGCGCCCCGCCCGGGGGGGGGGGAGCGTTTCACGCGGCGGGCCCTGGCCGTGCAGAGGCGCCTGGGGCGTCGCCCGAGAGCCACCACGCGCAAGCGGCGCGCGCGCCTCGCCGCCGTCCGCGCGCCGGGAAGCCAAGCGCGTGCGATCAGCTTGCTTCCATTCTTGCATTGACAGTGGGCACGTATTGTACACCTTGTGCATTCTGCAACGTTCGATCGCAATCCGCGCTTCCATCTGCTGCTGCTCGCGCCTGAGGATCCTCTGCGCCGCCGACGTAGAAACATGCGGTCAGCGTTCGTACGATGATCGTTTTGATGTTCGTTGTGTTGTCGACTGGCGCGGGCCCGCGCACGCCCCCACCCCCCATGGAGTAGATGTTTGCTATTGCCGGCGCCTGCTTCAAGCGGATGGAGTCAGCACGGGGGCCCCGCCTACCCACAGGATTTGCCCATGGGAGCACTGTTTCAAACAGTCGCATTAAGCAGAGGTCTGGAGACAGCCCCCCCTTCGTTCAATGTCGAAACGCCGAAAAAGAAAGCGGTTATGGGCGATGTGTTGATTTTAGCCTCGGGGAGGGTTGGGTCACGGAACCAGAATCATGGCAGGAACGGGACACCCGTTTTCGCGCAGCGTGGAAACCCCGGCTAGAAGTGCGCTTGGATCGTGCCAGCAAGAGCGCGATGGCGAAAGCGGTTGCTCCTTACTTGGCTCGTTCTCTTGCTCAACGCGATATTCGTCTGTAATGGTGTTGGCTTGTGCATGCGCTTGCACGTGCCACGCATTGCAGCATCTGGTGTCGAACATCTCACATGATGCGACAGTAAGAGCACGAGCGCGGAGGAGGAGGAGGAGGAGGAGGAGGAGGAGGAGGAGGAGGAGGAGGAGGAAGAGGAGGAGGAGGAGGAGGAGGAGGAGGAGGAGGAGGAGGGGGGAGCCTATAGCACTTCTAGATCAGCGAACGGGCAATTTGGCTCGAGCTGCGTGCGCGGCAGTGCGGCGGCCGGAGTCAGAATAGAACGCGCCACTGATCTTCGAATTGCTACACCTACAAGCCCAGCCCACCGGTGACCGGTGGAGAAGACCCAACGCTAATCCACGCCGGATTGTTGGGTCTGCTCCTCGGGTGCGTTCTCGAGCTAGAAGTGGGAGGAGGTTCGTAGCCTGCTTGCCGAACCGCCCATACACTTCAGCACCTAAGCATTGCAGAGAACCTAAGCCACTGCTCACCACTTCATGGTAAGTGTCGTTGTTGCTGCTCTCGGCATGTTCCAGCAAACGCCCTCCGTAGTTGCTCGTTCCCGATCGCGGCATCCCATTTGCAGACACAGGCGAGATGACCGTTACGTCACAAAAGAGTGGTAACCCTTGTGCTACGTTCAGGCACGGCGCGATGATGTCCATGCGACGCATGTCGTTTTGAGGCGCTGGTATATGTGTAGTGTTTAGTACCCGTTCGATGTTGCGGTCAGGAATGAAACTCCTTGCTTCGGTCAAGATCTGCCGCTACACTGCGATAAATTCTGTATGTCGCGCATTCGTACGTCCCCCGAGCACGCTCGCCAACAGTGCATGTCCGTGCGGACCAGGTGTGTCATGTGCAACTGCAATTCCGAGCCGGCGCCGCATAGCACATTGGAGTACCTCTGTGTCGAACGTAAGCCCGTCACACGTGGGGCAAACCAGTAACCAGCCTGATGCAAAACGTCCCATGCTTGAGTAGATTCTAGTCTTGCCAACCGATATTGCGTTGACTCGCCTACTTGGGAGGGCGAGATCGCGAAGCAAAGCCATGTGCGCTGATTTCTCCAATGCCGAGGACGCCCAAAATTGCCATCCGTGCTGCCATTCTCCCAGAAACGGCATGTCGATCCCAGATGGTTCTGGCGGCCGCGCCCCTGCCGCGATTTCATCCCAGCTGGGTCGGTCTCCCCACCCTTGTGTTTCACAATGTGTCCCTGCATGTTCTGCTGCGGTCAGACATCGAGGGCCTTGTTGTGCACCAGCCCGGATTGAGTTGAAATGGAATAGGATATTTCGACCCAAAGTTGGGAATTTAGACATTATCCCCGGCATCACATCTTCCCAACTGCTCCAATACGCGGCGGGGGCCGTACAGTAGGAACTCCGGAGACCCATCCCTTCCAATCGTAGCGGAAGGCGTGCTTGGAACACCCATGTATCAAAACCAACCCCATGTAAATTCACATCCCAACTGCGTCGTTCAGGAAGCCCCAATAATTCCCGAAGTGCGTGCAGGATCGCGGTGTCGTGGGCGTCGGCAAGTAGTTGAACCTTGTCTGGTGGCAATGTACGTAAAAGGTGGTTCAGCCGGGGCACAGCACAGTAATAGAGCAATAGCCAAGCAATTTGTAAAGAGGGGAGCTTAGGTAAGTAGTTTAGCAGCTTCGCCCTCTTCGTAGCGATAGTTTCGCCAAAAGCCTGAACATATTGATCACTACCGAACGGTGTTCCCAGAACTTTAATACCTCTTTCCTCCATTGGTGCGTCAGATTTCCACGCTGTAGGCCAATTTCCGCCAGGTCTGGGGGGCAAGGGATTGAGTTATTGCCCCATACGGCAAGTTTCCCAACATGTACATCGATTCGAATGTAGCCTGTACCAACTGCAAGATGAATGGGACGTCTGTTGGATCGTAAGCAAGATAATTATCGTCCAAATACGCCACAATCTCTGCTCCTGCTGGTAGCCTGGCGTGGACGTCGCAAAGGGCAGGGTGCAGAGCTAGACAAAATAAGGCTGGCATGAGGGCATATCCTTGCTCACCACCGTCGCCCTGCAATATTGTGTGCGTACACCCCTTGTCGTCGATCCAACGAAACTGCGTCTCTTCTTCGTACCATTGGCGAACAAATTGAACCAACCCGTGCAGACTAGGGACGGCCATCAACTGCTCGAACATTCGCGCCCTACTGACGTGATCAAATGCTCCGACTCCGTCGATACTTAAAATCACCTTGTCAGGGTACGCGTCAGTCAGGTACTGGAGTAAATGGATCGCCGCGTCTGTGCCGCTACGATCGGCGATGTCGAAATTGTGCGGTTCCACCGTCTGCCGGAGAGCGTCCTGGAATTGTCTGGCCAACGCTTTGGAAACTAGCCGCCGCAAAGTATCCCCAGCTGCAATCCCCCGCATTTTATTCTCTGTTTTGTTTAACGTTGTGAGAGAAGAAATCCGCAACGCATTAGCAACGCAAAATGGTAAGTTTGCTTGTGCAACATGCTCTGCTACATCACCTAAAACTTCCAATGCTGTTGTATATTACAAACATAACTTGTAATATTCGTACCGTACCCCCCATAAACCGGCGCTCAAGCCTCTCCGGGATGTCCGGAGGACGGTCGCGAATATATTCCGATCCAGTTGAACAGGTTGTTGTGGTTGGAAGCCTTGGAGGCCGACAGGTAAAGGTTCGGCTGGCTCTGCTGGGCGGAGGCGTGGATCTTGAAGTTGATTCAACGTCGATGTCGTTCCTGGAGCCACCCCTGGAGAAGTCAGACTCCGAGCGGCGTGGCTGAGTTCCCCAATTTCAGCAAGTTGCGAAGCGTGCTGCAATAGACGATCAAGTTGTTCCTTATCGTTATGTTCGCGTTGTCGTCGGCGTCGGTGTCGGTTCTCTTGTTGCTCATGTTGCCGGTGTGCTGAGGCCAGGAGAACGTTCCACTCACCCCGATCAAACATAGCGATTATGGTTTTGAGTTCGCGTGCTCCCGCATCCCCCCCGTTCGACGTGTGTTGGAGAAGCATACGTGGAAGAAGAATCAGTAAGCTCCACGCCAAAATACAATCTCCTTCTGAGCTTCGTGACTGCATCCACCCAATTGTGATACCAGCTACTGTGGCCAAACATTGTGTGAATATTCATAAGTATTGCTCCCGAATGCATCGTGGCACAGCCTTTACGGTACGAATGTGGGTATCGATTTCAATTTGAAGATCAACCGCTATGAGATGTCTCCAACCGTTTGGAAGCCGTCGGACTCCACCTGGGAGCTGCGTGAGAAAATCACCATTTTGATTACTATGAACCCCTTGTGGCCCGTCATCGCTTGGTTGCCCTCGTGCAGGCCCCGATTCAGACCGGACAACCACCCGATTGTACAGCCGTTGAAATAAGAAAAAACGAAGATGTTGTTTGAAATGCATGTTTTCACCCACACCCACGTACGCCAATTCTAAATCAGATACCGTACCCACCGTCGTAGCTCCCCGATCCAATATGTAGTCTTGTGCTTCTGGCGATATGTACCCTCCTGGCTGCACGTTCCCATATCCCTCAGCTTGCAACCACCGTGATAAACCTTGCACATCGTGTATGCCGAAATTTCGAAATGCTTGTCGCAACCCCCGGAATGCGTTACGAGTAGTTTCCCGGGAAATCAATCCATGCATCCCTTGTATGTCCGTCCCATACACATAAAGTGCCTGACATATCCAATCGAGCATCGGTGGAAGCTCGTCTTCCCGCGCTGCAGCCCACATCAGTGTCACATTGAAGAAAGACCAGCGGTATTGTCGGATACGGACCCGCACATCGG